ATAATAATAATAATAATAATAATGGTTCATTAGAAGTTCATCCACGAGTGGCTCTTCGCCTTCTAAAACATATATGGAAAACTAAATTGTGGTTAATAAATAAACTATATACACATAAATCTCTAAATACAAATACAAATACATACATATACACACACGTAGTACATATACGTATGTATCAGTAAAACGAGAACTAATTTTATAAATATTTACGTATACTACAAAAAATCCCCAAATTCAATGCCGTCGTGGTTTTGTGTGCCCGCCACGCAACGACTTGAAATCTAGTCAAACATTTAACGTATGTACGTATGTACTTACATAACATATTCGTATAAGGGTTGCTTTCACCACTAACGCTTTGTGCGTATATTAAGTTCCACCTGAAAGATATATATAGTTTGTAGGGATGTAGGTAGAATAAAGATAATTAATAAATAATAGCCAGAAATAGGTGTGAATCATGCATTAAAAATTGATAAATAAATCTGCGTTGAAGGTAAGTACCCTTTTTAACCGACAAGAATCACTGCCGCGTGCCCATGGGAACCGAATTACTAAGGGAATGTGTACGATTGCTAATGCCCTTCAAGTGGTTGTGCGATTATAATTAAATTCTACCATATGAGAACAAAACCACGTGATCGTTAAGGTTGGGAGAAAGGCCCTGATCAAGACTAGTGACAGACTTACTCTCCTTTATCCATGGGTTTTTGGAATTTTGCTAACATATCTTTTTGCTTGACCTTCATGATGGTTATTTTGTTGCTGAGTAGTGTATCGTTCCTGATGTTCAGCTGTTGGTTTATAGATAGTAGAAACTTTATTAAATAGCCAAACAAGGTGATCTTATTTTAAAGTTACTATTATCAAATTTTTATATTTGAATTTCTACTTTTTTTTTTCTTTTCTTACAGCCGAGCTCCCGCGCGGGTTTTTATAGAATATGTTTACGAGTTATTCTACGAATATCTTTAAGAAAGGGTATGGTTTTAAGAGCTGGAACTTGAAAGAATGCCGCGTAAAGTTTCGAATGGACGTCGAGCTTCGAAGGTTAAGTTTAAGAAGAAAAACATCCAAAATCAACCCCAAAAAATGAGGTTCAATAAAGATGATGTCAATGACAATCAATGCCATGTTTCTTTCCCTTCCAAGCCTTGTTGGGGCCCGTGATACGAAGTACACCACTGCAGTTGTTGTGATAAAAGGCTTTTCAGCAGGTGATCTCAATAAAATAGAAATTAAATAAAAAATCTAGTTTTCTTGTTAAATTATGAGCATACGACCGGAAACAATAGAGACATCACATCCCTCCTGGTTTAAAATTATTCTTCAGCCTTCAAAAAAAATCGTGCTAACATTTCTCTGATGTTCTGCCAAACCCCGTTTATAACTCTACATAGCACATGCGCATGCGCGCGCGTTTTCTACTTCTTCATTACACATAAAGAGAAAATATTTTTCAATAATAATGAGTAATAATGGCAAAAAGCGCCAAAAACTAGACTTTCATATGAGTTTTGATACCAATTTTCGTTTTGGGTTAATACTCAAAACCTTTTTTAAACAGTTAGAAACTGATGTACTACGATAAAATGCCTTTTTGAAGCGGTATTTTCAATTGTAAAAAGATGTTTTGTTGCATTTGTGTTAGAATGTTGCTTTGTCAGGCTTTTTCATAGAAAATATATGGGAAATAAGCAAATGAAGACCTAAGCCTTATTTTCGAATAAAATTTTTGCTTTGGGTTAACACTTTGATTCCACTTTTATTAGTCATCTCCACTTCCAAACAAGTTAAACTTTCTGATTAACAAGATTTTAGCCTCGTACAACAGCCTTCTTCAAGAAAATAGTTTTTGGCGCTCACTGCTTGAATACGATCGAAAGAATTCTCTCTTAATAGTTTATTTCATGCCCCTGTCTTTCTAGTTAGAATATGATAAATGAATATTACTTACATTCTTGTATTTTTTAAATTTCTTGCTAACTTCTACAGGGTCCAGGAGATATTTGGGGAAGCCAACCTCACTTTTCATCCCATTTACCTACATAATTTAAAGATATCAGTTTAAGAGGCAATGTCCACAAGAATCAAACAAACGCTAACGGTGGCAAGGTTCAAAAAATCAAATTCGTTCTTCTTTTGAAATTAGATAGGCCATTATTAGATATGAATCCCTGGGTAGTTAGTTTTTGAAAATAGTATTTTATTTTCGAGAAAACGGCCACAAAAGATGCTCGACCGCAGCCCAATCAACAGACGCTCAAGAGGAGTGAAAATGGCCAAACTTTGAACAGAGCGCGCTTAAAAAATAAACCATCATTCGTTCATTGGACTGGGTTTCAAGCTATTGGGAAAGGGACGAATTTCTGGCGAGGGAAAATAGGAGGCCTTTGTTTACGTATGCTAATTAGTTGCCTCAAAAGAAAAAAAGATTTAACTTTCTACAAGATCTACTCTCGTTGAAATCATATTTATGCTGCATGTTGGGGAAGAATACATCTTTCCAAAACTGAAAAAAATTGCTTTGGAGAAAATAATTCTGACTGCATAGAAAACTGTTGAATTTGGTTGAAATACCTCATGCGAAAATCACGCATCCCGAATCAACGCAGGACTAAGGATTTTCGTAAAGATTGCCATGGAATTTAACCCAAGAACTAAGGAATTATTGTTCGTGCCATTTTTTGAAAGTTCAGTGTGGTTTGATAAATTTAAGCTCCATTAGAAAGATTTTGGAATTGTCGGTTAGATTAGCAAAAAATGCGATCTTTGGTGATTGCGTGACCAAGGTTCCACTTTTTAAAAGTCTGATAACTGTAACTGATTCACGCTAAAAATGAATTATTACTCGTGCCCAGGCTCTGCCGGCACGAGCTTTAAATGCAACGCGTATAGTTTTTTTGTTCTTCGTCCAAGTCGAGARGCTTAGTCTCCCTCCCCTTCTCAAAGAGCCAGGCTGCACAGGCTAGAAGTCTTCAGTTGACTCGTTATTCTCAGCTCTTGAACTTTGACAATATGGATATTCTTATAGCCTATATTCATATTAACCTTTTTTGGCTTCAAAGTCTACTCAAAAAACATTGGTACATAGTAATATTTATTTTAAGATCCTATTTGATTAAAGAAGCAAAATAAATAATTTGCTACGCACATTCCAGGGTTTCATCGTTGCCGTTCCGAAGCCTTATGATCTCTTTTAATTTTTCTTCAAAAAAATATGGTAATTCATTTAAAAATATTGAATAAATTATAAAATTATAAAATGTAAAGCAATTATGAGAGAGGGTTTGAGCAAATATTAGCCTGAAATTGGATGTTCCAGATTGAGTCATTCGATGACTTTGATGAGTATGGCATAAACCGTAACATAAGGGATCATTTAATATACAACA